TTTGAATGGGAAGGATTTGTGCAACGCCACTTGGCAGAAAGGTGGTCCAGAATGTTTGCCGGAGCATGGGCTACTTTAAATTTGGCGGCACAGCCTTTATTGTTATTTTGCAGACGATTTTCGTGTCGACTGTGAGCTGTGCCGCCATTGGGGGCTAAGCAGAAGGACGGGGGCAAAGCAGAATTGCGCCGGGGGCGTAGAGGAACGACGGGGGCGAAGCAGATTTTTTGCGGGGGCGAAGCAGAACGGGGCGGGGGCGAAGCAGAACGGCGGGGGCGAAGAGGAAGGAGTTTCATGGGGGTGTAGCTAGGATGTAACAAGTTGAAATCCCGGTGGATCTATATAATCTCTGCCCACAATGTTGCGCCGTGTCCGCTAAGGCTTGACTTGCACCCGTCACATCCCCGTGTTTAGATGCTGTTTATTTTTCTTGCTCGGGTAAAGTAAAAACAGGCTAGTTCTGACTAAACACGGGGCGGGGGAAAGAGGGAGTACAACTGTTGAACAGGTTGGCTGAGCTGAGCAACTTTTAATTAGAACGATTCACTGGAGTTTTGAGGACGGGGACAGTACGTTAACTCACCTGTACGGGGGGCTGGGCAGCAGGTGGCGGAGTAGTTAAGACGGGGACAGCAGACACTGTGGCTGCGAACGGAACTCCCCCCGATCCGGAGCCGCCGCCACTGCCCCACTGTGCTCACGGTCAGGAGAGAGGAAGGGCCGAAGAACAGAAAGAAAATTGGGGGGAAAGATCAAAATAAAGATAAGACTTTGAAAACAAGATCAAAACAAGACTGTGAAATAAAGTCAAAATAAAACTGAACTGGCGTTCGAAACAGAGACAGATGGAAAGAGTTCGGGAAGCGGCTGGAAAGACGGGCTTGGGAATAATCCTTGGGAACAATCATTGGGAATAATCATTGTGGATAATACCTGTGACGTTCATGTATCATCTCACCTGAGAGCCGATCTGCTGCGCTACGGGCGCCCCGCCTGCCTGCCGCGGAACCCGCTGGAACAAAACAGAAACACGCATTAATTATCACGGAACTTCATCTGTGTTGGCAGTAATCATAGTACGATACTCAACTTTATTCCAACCTAAGGGTACACAGGAATCAATTTTTCAACGACTGTCGCCTTCATCAGGATAATTAATGATCAATCACTTCACAACGTAAACCCACGAGTTACGGACACGAGACCTTTTTCAGTCGAGACGTGACGTCAGCAATTGCTGAAAGTACCTGCAGTTTATAACGTCCTCCGTCTCTGTTTAGTGTTGGCTGGAGTGCCCGGATATATATGGCCTGCCTTATACCTGTTATCCGACAGTGGGCGTTGAACAATTTGATCCTTGCGTGCCCTTTTCGATGGAATAAAGTTTAGCAACGTACTGCAAAACTATATATATAAAATATTATATATGCCAAGTTCGAGGTTCGCTAGACCGAAATTACCCAACCTTTAGTAACGTGCGAGCGAACGGAAGGTGGCTTAGCCTGTAAGTTAGAGCAGCGCTAGTGTGCCAAGTTCGCGGTTGGTTAGACCCATAACAGGCTTTATCTGCAGGAGACACCTGCAAGTCGCATAGTGGGGCCGCAGAAATGTCGCGCCGCTCGGGCTGGGGGTAAATCCTAGCGCCCCACTTCTCCCTCACACCCCTCATCCATCTACATCCAGCCAACAATGCAGTCCGCGTAATGGCCCGATTTTAAAGTTGCTAGGAGCGAAATCACATTATGTCTCCAACGTGCGATCAATATGCTCCGCGAAAATGGCGCGATATCAGCCGTGGGAAAACAAGATGGCGACAGATGAACAAAAATCGTTTGGAAATGACGTCACAACAGGCGCCCGATCGTCTGGCCATGCTGCGATCAATTCGCGTCTATCTGCGGTCTCCACGCGCCTTATCAAACATAACTCTCAACCCTCCTGACCTATAACAACTCTCCTGACTTATTCTCAACCCTCCTGCAATCAAAACCTCTTATTCTCAACCCTCCTGACTTATTCTCAACTCTCCTGACCTATTCTCAACTCTCCTGACTTATTCTCAACTCTCCTGACCTATTCTCAACTCTCCTGACTTATTCTCAACTCTCCTGACTTATTCTCAACCCTCCTGCTCCGTGTTTGGACAAGCTGTACTCAGTGCCAAGGTCTACAGGAGGAAGATTATTTAGAGTTAGCAGAAAGACTCGGAACAGGTGGAACGGATGATACCGAGAAAAACAACTCGGAACGGTGACAAATGTCGGCTGCATTTCAGCTTGATGTGTTCTTTGCTTATTTTGGATCGATGAATCGGATTGCTGATCACATCAGCGGTTGTGTGCTCGTGAGGTTCGGACCGCCCTAACTGTGCTCCTGTCTGAAAACACGCTTCGTCATCGGTGGACGTTTAAAAGGAATCCGATGCATTTCAGGCCGGTAAAACTACATTTTCAAAGTCAGTTTTCTGCTCATTTTTCAATGTAGTAAGTTGAATCAACACTATCTCAGAGCACTGAAATCTGTGGGGCAAATATGCGATTTCGCCGTCGGAAAAACAGTTTCTTGTTTTGTATGATATGTATTGGCCATTGTCCAATTGACATAATTATTGGTTAATAAGGATTCCTCCATCTGGAATAATCAGATCTGTAACAACCCGGTGATCCACTGAAGAGCAGATCTGGTCATCAAACCTGCCATGCAGGTCAGACGGGAAGAGAAGGGAGAAACTTTATTTGAAGTAAAGTAGTTCTTCGATCCTTTTTTTGTCATTTCGGTTCCAGATGCGATTCCCACACCTCCGCTTGTGTGTGTGTGGTGGGGGGGGGTTCTGCTATAATACCCCCTTTGAGTTCAGTATCTACGTCACAGAAAAGTGATACAAGACGAAAGGTCCGACGCGGCGCGGCAGACACAACATGCCCTACTTCTCACACTCAGTGCGGTAATTCGGCCGGCCGCATGAAATCCTAATCCTTATCTCTAATGGCTATATGACAGTAGCAAATTGACAAGACAGTAGCAAATTGGGCAGGTAGTATCATTTGCCAGGCAGTTCGTGACCATTTGCCCCCGGCGCTGGAATAGGAAAAGATACATGCATGGCGAACATAAGCCGAAACCTGAACCTCTGCTTGGAGAGTAAAGGTTAGCCTCTACCAGGCTTCGGGAGGCGGCTGGAAAGAGTCGAAATATCCGCCAAATAGAGAGATAACATGTCAGGGGAGTTAGTCTGCTGGGACAGAACAATTCGGAAGCCGCAAACTGTTCTCTGCCAGCAGACCAACTCCCCCGGCATGTTATCTCTCTATTTGGGCAATTTCTATTCTTTCAGACCGCCTCCCGAAGCCTGGTAGAGGCTAACGTTGTCTCCTGAGTCCGGCTCTGTTTGCGCCTATCCCAGAGGCGCCTGTGGAAATCCTAGTAAAGCGGCGCGCGGCGGGAGAGATTTACCCAACAGCCCCGCGCACACGCCGCTCAATGTAAAGTTGTTGTCGACAGTTTCCCGACAACAGGAGCGTCCATTCACCCCTGAGTCCTCTCCTTTACTCTCTTTCAGCGCCCTGCAACTCTATCCCGTGTTTCTCTCTCTGCGCGCTTTCCGCAGAATGGTCTACAGTTGCACAAACACGAGAATCGTCGCTAATTTCCGCAGGCGACACGGGATTCAGCGGTAAACAGCGGGCTAACATTGCGGGGAAGTAGCGGTAAATAGCAGGTAACATTGTGCTGGAAGAAACACGAGCGCGGACACTGCCGTTTCCCATGTAGGCACCGAGAACCGGCCGCCTTTGTTTTCGGCAGTTCGCTATAACCCGGTCTCTCCGCTCCGTCAGCCGCGCACTGTGAACATGTCAGTCTGCTGACACCAATCTCTCGTCGCCTGCCTCGTCACCGTCAGGACGCTAATCTCCAAGCAGATGTTTCGCTGGCTGCAAAACAGTATCAAATTGGCCAGACAGTATCAAATTGGCCAGACAGTATCAAATTGGCCAGACAGTATCCAACACGCCAAGATACTGTCTGGCCAATTTGATACTGTCTGGCCAATTTGATACTGTTTTGCAGCCACCGAAACATCTGCTTGGAGATTATCAGGACGCTACACTTTAACCGACTTCTCTCACAACTAACTCACCACTGTGACTGATAGGGAGCTTGCCATATAATCAGCCACGACGGTTACGAGTAAGAGAAAGTTTATCTCGAGTTCTTGCCTTCAGGCTGATTGCAGGTAAATTTAACATGAAAAAAAAAGACGGACAATAGGTAACAACATAGCCTGTAGCTACTCTAGTCAAATTTACTTGTTGAGTTCGACTTCTTTTTCCAAGACAGTGGAAGACGAACGATCCCACTTTCTGTAATGTGTAGATTTTGTGAGGAGAGTAGTTTTCGTTTTGTCTGTAAGTTAACTAACCGTGGAGACATTAGATGGAATTTGGCCTCTTCAAACAGGTCCTTTATTTCAGCAGCGATGACGCATCACCTGTGTCTCTAACATCGTCCTTCCGATATGTATAAGTGTCAGTTTAACAGTTCTCCCGAAAACCCTGGGAACAGCCTCTTCTCCCCTAGGTTCTGCCAAACCCCGGGAACAGCCTCTTCTCTCCGCCTCTCCTGGGTTCTGCCGAGACGCGACGGCTTGATTGAACACAGGCACCAACAGTCGGGGGGAAATCACTTTACATCAGAGCAGGGTGGGGCAATAAAGGGGATTGCACGTAATTAGTTAGGGAGGGGCCCTGATTCCTTCCGTGCGTCACTGAGGGCGCGATGATCGGAGCAGAAGTTGACAAAGTGACAAATCGGTCCCAGTTCGGGGACCAGGCGTAGTGTCCCTTACAGGCCGGGTAGATATGGGGCACCATGGCCATGCACTGAAAAAACTCTTAAACCATGCGTAAAGGTTTCCTTTCTTCCTTCGCGTGTACCTTTACGCCCGTGTAAGGTGTGTTAAAATGAATGTAAGATTTGGTCCAGGGACGCAGTCAGTCAGAGAGCAGTGTTACAAGCACGTCCTCGGTGTCACACCCCGCTGGCTACAAGTGCCGCTTCTCAGCTCAAGTGGGCGACCAGTCACCAGTCGCGTAAACATGGCCATGGCCGCCCTGACCTTGGAAATACCTGCCTTCTTCTTCCGTAAGTAGCCTGGGTGCCAGGCTATTAGCAGGGCCAACACATGCCAGTTCCTCTTACAAGCCAGGGCTAGCCTGGGTGCCAGACTATCAGCAGGGCCCACACATGCCATTCCTCAGCTCCAGGGCTAGCCTGGGTGCCAGACTATTAGCAGGGCCTACACATGCCAGTTCCTCTACAATCCAGGGCTAGCCTGGGTGCCAGACTATTAGCAGGGCCTACACATGCCAGTTCCTCAGCTCCAGGGCTAGCCTGGGTACCAGACTATCAGCAGGGCCCACACATGCCAGTTCCTCAGCTCCAGGGCTAGCCTGGGTGCCAGACTATTAGCAGGGCCTACACATGCCAGTTCCTCAGCTCCAGGGCTAGCCTGGGTGCCAGACTATCAGGGCCTACACATGCCTATCAGCAGGGCCTACAAAAACCGTTAAATGCTGCTCTGTCAACACTCAGTATATCTGAAGAATAAAACAAGCTAAATGCACTTTTGATGCTGAGGCACGGCAAGCTGATTACTGCACGCGGTCATTTGCTGCAGTCACGCGTGTTTTATTACTGGTTCGCTTCTCTGCTGCAAAACCAAGAGTTGCAGCGCCATACGTGAATAATACATGTGTATTGGAATAATAAGAAACAAGCATACCCCTGCTTGTAAAGTAAAACATAGCTCGGGGTTAGGTATAGGATATTCACACGGCAAATTTCCCCTGTGCCCCCTCAATACACAAGAAGCCTAAGTCCTGTAGTGCTTTTTTTATGTATTTATTGATCTTTGATACACATGGGTGGCCAGAGAAAGTCTGATTTCCAAGATAAACACAAGTAATAAATACAGAAAGGTAATACTAATAGAACATAAAATGATAATTAAAACTAAATAATGCATGCAAAGCAAATCAAATTCGGCCAAAAATAGCAACTCAGAATCATAATCATACCGCAATAAACAATCACTTGATTACTTGATAGAAACCATTAGTTATTTTTTCATTAGCTCGTGGAAAAGGCATTTTGCAGTAATCTGCCTGCAGAGGCGGCGGCAGGGCTGCAGAGGGCAGATGGTATCAGGGTCAGAGTCGCGCCGTGAGAG